TAACAGTAAGCGATTATGGAAAATGGCACAAAAAAGCCCAGCAAATGGAGTGTGATGCCATAGGGTACATAATCAGGAAACTCCTTATCGATGGCATCATCCCAGCAGTTCTGGTACTCTTCAATTACCCCTTCCAATTTACCATAGCCCGCATTACCATTTTCTGATGATATGCTATTACTCGGGTTGTCAGTACTTACATTGCTTCCAAACCCTGTTAATCTTGTCACATGACCAGTCTGAGCAAAACGGAAGATGGGGCAAGTCAAAGCAAATACTATTATCCAAACAAGGACACAAGTGCACTTGACGGCCTTCTTGGTCTCCAGCGTTATCACTTTCATTGGATGGCAAATACCAAGGTATCTGTGCACAGAGATACAAGTGAGGAAGAAGATGGAGCAATAGAGGTTAAAGTAGAAGAGAAAACGAACCACACGGCACATGAAGTCCCCAAAAACCCAGCGGTCACGCATTATGTAACTTCCTACAAGAAATGGCAGCGACAGGCCGTACATAAAGTCTGTAGAGGCCAGGTTAACCATGTATATTAAAGAGGCATTCCAGCGTTTGGTCCGACGGAAAGAACGGTAGAGGATGACAGAGTTAAGAGAGATGCTAAAGATGAATGTGAAGGAATAACAAATGGGAAGGAAGATGTACTTGTACGACTCGTCTATGCTGCAAGACTGAGTTGGTGAGGATGGGGAGGAAGAGTTGAGGATATCGTGGAACGTATCCACATTGATATCTGAAGGAACCTCATGTCTTGATGACATCGTGAGAGCAAAAGTTATTTTGATATGAGAGAGAAGGATTCAGCATGTATGTTTGGACTTCTGGCAGGTTTCTCCTCTATCATCCTTGGTCCTGTCCATGTATGAGTGTTTACCTAGAAACAAAGACAGCAGTCATTTATCAGAATTTTATTTCATCAGATTTTCTCTTATCTTAGTATTGAAAGTTTTGATCAAGTAGTGTTCCTGGTTCTGTGTATGTTCTGTGGGCATCTGCTATGATTTCAAAGGTACATTAAAACTTTTTCACAGTATTTTATGGAGTTCTGTTAAAAAACAAAGGACATTCCATTATTCAGTAGCTTGTAAACCATGCCTTGCCTTTCTTCAGATGGTTTCACACAGTCTTCTTAACATTTGTGCTTCAGTTCATTGAGATTCATGGACAGCTTCTTGTCATACTTACATGTTTCAGATCATTAAATTTTAATATTACTGTATTTTCTGCACTATAAGGCGCACTTAAAATCCTTTAATTTTCTCAAAAATCAACAGTGCCTCTTATAATCCGGTGTGCCTTAAGTATGAATTCTGGTTGTGCTTACTGACCTTGAACTGATTTTTATTTGGTAGGCTCAAACATCTGTCACAAAATGTTTTAGTATGACTTTGGTAAGCTACAAAGCCGCACCGCTTGATGGATTGTCGTAGCATTACAGCTACCGCAGTTAGGAGCCTCGCGGAGCAAAACTCCGTAGGTTCAGGTCCCAAAGTCAAACGAACACTGCAGCATCACTGAGAGTTAAAAACTGTCTAAATTCTTTCATCTTTAATAAAATG